CTGTCATTTCAGGACACAACAGGAAGGAACTGAATACAGCCCCACTAGAGAGCGGGCAGGAAAGGGCAGGAAGGGAGGCTCAGAGAGAGGACATGAAGGGAGTTGTTCTCTGCTGGACAGGAGAGAGTCCAGTGCTTTCCCAGGCTCCAGCATCCTTGGTGGAGGTGATGTGAGCTCCACCTGCCGTGGCCAGCCCTCCGCCTGAATCTGCTGCTCTGCGCAAGGTCCTCTCTGAGGCCAGCTTTCACCCTGGCCCTTTCTAAGAGAGTGGCAACACATTTTTAGGTGTTGTTCAGTCTCACCTCTAAAGTACAAACTGAGTTGTGTATTCCCCAAAAATTACAGTTTGAAGTGTGTTTTCAAATGGCAGTGCTTCATTCTGAAATGGCTTGATAATAATTTTTGCATCATTTAGGATAACCGGAGACATCCACCTGGGAACATAATTCAGGCTGATCACTACCATATTAAAATGCTTCTTTCTTGCTTGATAAATAGCTGCTGCCCAAGTCTTCCTGGCCCCTTAGTGCACCCTGCCCTCCCCCTCCTTCCTGTGGCCTCTCCACTGACGGGTCCCTGCCAGGCATGGAGCCTCCGAAACTCATCTGAGACCTCAGCTGGCGTGACTGATGGGTGCTCTTGCCTTTTTGGTTTTCTTTTAATTATTTTTATTAAAATCTTCATAGTCAGCTCTGTAGCTCCTGAGACTGGCTGCCATTTGGAACTTGGCTCCATTTCATTCTGTCCATTTCCAAGATTGCTGTGAAGGCAGGTGAGATGGGCCCCAGCAAGGTGGAAGCTTCTCTGTGATACCACCTCCAGGCCCTTGTGATGGCCTGACCATCTGAGGGTGCACCCTTTGGGTCAATCAGATCTTTAAAGCTAGTTTGGAGTCATTGGTTCTGTCGACATTACCTTGTCATGATGCTCCAAATAGGCTGAGTCAGGCAATGGAAACATTTGATTTGCAACATAAAGGATGCAGTTAATAGATCAAATGTCCCATTTCATCCTGTCAGTTGCTGATTTGAATATGGTGATTAATGCATAAGATCTGTTACACAGCTTCTTAGCCAGGAAGGTGAACTCTTGGCATGAGAAGCAGCCAAGAGGTCAAAGGTAAACCATGGTCGATGAAGGGCATGCACCTGGGAACAGCAAGAGCCATCAACCAACTTGACTAGGTTCCTTACTTGTGAAAAAATTAAATTACTATTTTTTAATTTAAAAAATTAATAAAAGTATCAGCTGCCCATAGGCTCAGCCCCAAGCAGCCCCTCAAAGTAGCCAAGAATACCTCAGTGGGGTGGTCTCAGGCGGCCTGGCTCTGCTGCTGCGGATCTCAGGTGTTGGGATGGCTCAGGAATGTCGTTGCCGAGGCTGCCACTCTAGCGGTTTATGACAGCACCTCGCAGGTTCCCAGGATGCACACAACCTATTTTATACACAGCTTTTTTTTCTTTAATGGGCTCAGGTTTGGGAACATGTTGGCAGGCTGATCTGGCAACTCTGCCGAGAAAATATAAATAAAAGTGAGACAGATTTATCATCTTACAATTAGTCACCTATCACTCAATCAGGCCGTGAGCCTTTCAGAAGTTCACCAATAACAGAAGTAACACCAGTGAGTCACTGAAGTAGTAATTAGGAGAAGTGTACACAGCACACGCCCCAAAGACAGTTTGTGAGCCAGGAACTCTCAGGCCACAGTCTAGAAGGAAGCTCAGGGGCGTGTCGTCATGAACAGCTGTGCACTGGGGAGGCAGCCAGTGTTAGTTCTTCATGGTGATTGGTGGCATTATTAGAATTTTTTCAAGTGATAGGGAATTGGTCCGTGGTTACCTTATATCAGCCTTGGAAAATGGTTTTAAGTTGTGCTTAGGATTTCCAGAGGCATTCCACAAGAAATGACCCAGGTCGAGTTAGCCTTGCAGAGAATAAGCTAAATTAAGCTTTATTTGTATGACTAAACTGGTTTTGTGTGCTCAGGGAATTTTCAAAGCTGGTCTCCATTTGATATTTATTTTAACAAGCCAAATGCTCCATGACACTATTTCTTCCTTGAGTCTTTCCAATAATGTGTGTGCTACATTGAGATGAGTGTCTGATATCTCACCTCTAAGCACAGCTTCAGAGCAAGGATCTGGGGTCTGTTTTGCTCAATTTAATGCAAGTGCAAACACAGCCCGGCCCCGTGGGACAGAGCAGTGTGTTGGGTTTTTTTTTTTTCCCTCCAAAACCTGTCATATTTTGAGTCTGAAAGGAGAAATGAAAAGCAGTCTCTCTCTTCTACAAAAAGGTGGTATAGGGATGTGCTTATTTACCCAGCTTTTCAGTTATTTATCAAAGCGTGCTCCGTGCCGCAGCCTCCTGGAGCGCCCCATCTCACTGTCACTCAATTTACATTTTGTTTATTACATACAGAGCACTGGAACCGGCACAGCGCAGCTAATGTGGCCACAACAAATGGACACGCAGCAAGATCTCTTTGGGGGCCGGGTTCAGGCTGGGATACTTTTTCAAGCAGGGATTCCCTTCGTGGTTAATTGGGAGGACTGAACAAACTGTGTGCTTTTCATTAAAACCCTTACACAGTCAGGCCTCATCAGCCTGGCTGAATAATGGAAACTTTTGCTGTGTCTACCCTTGTGTGGAAGATTTCCTGGGGTAAGACACAGTTTAAAATGTCCCAGATTTCTGAGGGTTTGTGACTGTAAAGCGATCATCCGAATGCCCAGGGAGAGGATGCTGATGGGGGATCCAGCTTCCCCACAAGGGCGCAATTTGGTTTCCTGAGGAGAGGCTCCAGCTTGTGTAAACTAGAAGGACTCCAGGGGGGGTTTGAACAATTAGGGAGTGGTAACCAGGGGACTGGCAAGGTGACTGGAGGTGAAACATTTCCATTGTGATCCAGTCATAAGCCAGTTCTTCCTTTGTCTCAAAAGAAGAAAAAAAAAAAAACTAGCATCCTCTTTTCCTGGAAGTCTTACACTGCAGAGTCACCTTGATTTTCATTGATTCCAAACCAGGATTCATCATTAAATTTGAGCAAGATATGCTCCAGGGGAAATCCATAATGCAAATGTCAAAAAAAAGATGAATAGTGGAGAGCCATCCAGCCCTGGGTCACCTTGAGGACCATTCCTTTGCAAAGGTTAAATCTCCAGGGATGTCACTAGAAGTAGAGCTCCATGCCGGCCTCGGGCCAACAGTTTCTGTATTAATGGGAGAAGTGATCATCGGAGATTAGGAAGCCATCATTTTTATAACTTACTTCCCAATCCCTGCACCTGCAACCACTTGTTACTGTTTTAATGTCCCTCCTGCTTGGCACAGAGCTGTCGGTGACAGACAGGGCACTCGGTGACACTCCGTTGTGGTTGATGAACAACTCGCTGTCACTGTCATCTGTTTTCTAAAACACTGGCTCTGACATTTTTAAGCATAATATAAGAAAAGTGTCACCTGAGAGGCTGAATGTAACAGCATTTTTAAGAGAATGCTTTGCAGTACTTACATGCCTTTCAGAAATATTAAGCATTTGGGAAGTTAATGAGAATTGTATTATAGCCTTGGTCAAAAACACTTTTGCTCATATAGTAAAACTTCAAAGTAAGATTTTTAATTATATTCAGGTTCCTTACCGAATATTTTACTGGTGTGTTTGTGCACCCTTACAAATTTTAGAAATGTATTATTTATGAGGATTGTGTATTTTGTTAAGTATAGTTATTTGTAATAGTCAAATTTGTTTAATGATTGTTTTTCAAAAATGTGTATGATCTGAGATTTGAAGAAAACGAAATTCTTTAGCATCCATTCCATTTCCTGGTTGTATAAAAATGTTAGTAGGATCAATTAACTGAATAAATTGCTGGTGTTAATAACAAAATTTCACAATAATCCACTCAAGCATTTAATTCTTGTGCCTTCTATTCTGTGTTGGAAATGAAATGATAGAAATTATAATGGGGTGAAATGAAATCAAATCAAGATTCTTGAAATATAAGACAGGAGGGAAGCATTATTAAAAGACTGCTTTCTTGATGGGACCTATATTTAAATGTAACCGTATCACCTTAGAGAAGGCACTCTCCCCACTTTTTTAGAAATGAGTTTTCCAGCAGCTCCATCCAGGCAGTGAAATAGGGAGGGGGTTGCTGTCGATCTTCCCTCCGCCTTCACCCAGTTCTTTCCTGTTCATTTTGGACTCTCTGTAAGCTCACCCACGTCGCTCCCGCCCGCAGGGACTTAGAACCAGCACACCCCAAGGGTATGGAGGCCACTGCAGGGGTGGGACATGGTGGCAGCAAAACGTGGGTGAAGGAGACTCTGAGTTGGCAGCATCTGAATGAAAGGCAGAGGCCTCGAAAGGTGGGACACCAAGACTTCAGGAAAAGAAAATAATCGAAATAGAAAGGAAAAAAATAAGGTTTAGTGCCTGCAAGAATCCAGTCTACTTTCTGGGGCACACAGTTCAGAATTACGATACCCTATATATTTAGAACAAAGGTTCCAAAAAGCATGTTCTTCTCCCTCAGCTGTTGGAGAGACACAGAGGACCCAAGAGACCATGAACTCTACTCCCTTGCTTTGCCAACTCTTGTTCATTGTCTAAAACTGAGACACCACGTGTTCCATCTCCCAGCCCATGTCTGTCCAAAACTGGGTACCTGTTAGCCACTCATGGCTTTGCTCTGTGTGGTGTAATTGCCTGTTTGTGAAACAAAGACATTTATTTACCTTCCGTAACAGAGAAGTCATGGCTACAGGCCTTATATTGGATGGATTTTTTAATGGTTTCACTTAGGACATTTAGAATATAGTTCGCTTCTTATGCTAAAGCCTGGACACATTCAAAATGCCTGCAAATAAGAAACGGATGCATGTTACCAAGAGCCTAACATTCAGACTCACAGTGTTCTGTGTTCTGTTTTGTCCATGAAAGCCCATTTTAGAGTTATTGTTTTATTTCTGAATAATACATTTCTTTATTCAAGGTCAACACAAGATAAAGTTCATTCCAGAAATGGTTGGTCCAATATTAGAAATGACACTGATCCCTGAGACGGAGCTGCGCAAAGCTACCCTCCCCATCTTCTTTGATATGATGCAGTGCGAATTCCACTCCACCCGAAGCTTCCAGATGGTAAGGACATAGGTGTGCGGTAAGTGGAGAAGACGGACCACAAGACTGAAAACCATGAAAAAGACTTTTAGGTGGTTCTAGAGCTAAAGATGTTGCATATGGAAAACATAATTCCCAATAGCCTAAGAGATAAAAATCCAAGGACTTTTCCTTTTTAAAGAAGGCTATCATCCTTCACTCATCTTTAAGGGAATTTCGTTCTGTTTTTGGCTTTTCCTTATTAACTTTTATCTGGATTGCCTTACACATCAAACCTTGGATAAAAGTCTCTTCTTCGCCCTCCTTGGTACGAGCAGTCCTGGAGCATGTAGTCGGATGCTACTGTGTTCTCTGGGCCTGGCTGCTTATTGCCGATTCATGTTATCGTAAAGTCTAAATGCTTTGCTTTCTAGTCTTTGAAATGTGTGGCTCGATCTTTTTACTTGTGCAGTGGAACTGATGAGAATGCCTCAGAGAAAGTATGTAAAGTGCTCCAAACATGCTTTAGCACCAGGAGGAGCAGGATCTGATTTATGTTTGAGAAGAGCAAAGTCTCCTTCCCTGGACTCCCTGAACGTAAGCACAATGTTGACCTTTTCAGTGCTCGTGGGGGGCACACGCCCCCAAGCAGGAACACCGTGGGTTTCTGCCTAGTGTGCTACTGGTTTGGCCACATGCTTTTTGCAGGAGGCAGGAAAAGAACCCAAACGATAGGGATTTTTCTACACAGCGCAACCATTGTTAAAGTACTACAGTATTTCAAGTAAGGCAATATTTGTTTTATGTAGGTCTTTGAGGGATTTTGAAGAAAATTCCTACATTGAAGAGAAAGCAAAACTGTATCAATCACGGCAGTGTGGTTTTAGTGGGATCTGTTATTTGAAAGAGTAGATTTTCCTTCCCTACCTTTGTGCTTTGTAGTTTAAAGGAGCTTTGAATAGTTTCTAGGTTTCCATTGGTCAGTCTTCACCATTACTGCATGAAGGTAATAGCCATGAAGAATAATAATGTTGCTATCTCTAGAACAAAAACAGACACAAAGCTAAAAGAACCCCTGCTCTGTGAATAAGAGTTGAGTCCAGATACGGAAGTCAGGCAGACCATGATTCGCAGCTTAGCCTGGTACCACCTGGGTTTTGAGCAAATTACGGAACATCTTTAAGTCTCTGGTTCAGAGCTGTAACATTGGTAGAATCTACTTGAAAGGGATGTTATGAGAAGTGAATAAAATAAACTCATGAAGCCCTTCCTTCATTCCTTCACTCCTTCATTTGTTCCTTCCTTCCTTCCTTCCCTCCCTCCCTCCCTCTCTCTCTTCCCAAACGGGAGGAGGGTTTCCTAACATTTATTTATTTAAAAAATTATAGAGACTATCTTAAAAGAACAGCTGTTTTTGTTTCTCTGGCCCTCTCTCTGTTTTTGTACATATGTAATGCGATGTTGTAAAGGTTGCCCGTGTTTTTTGTTGTACCTTTTGTTGGACGATATGTCAAAGACATTTTCCCTGATTAAAATGTAATAACCATGATTTTGCTGATCGTATAACATTTCAGAAAATGAGTCGGTTAGTCTTTTCTTACCTATCCCCTTTAGTTGAGCATATAGGTTGTCTACAGATTTTTCTTCCTACTCTTATTACTACTGTTATTTTTGTACTACTATCATTGTGCAGTGAACATGCTCATGCATATAGCCTGACTTTCTTGTGAATGTTTTCCTGGTATACATTCTTCAAAATGGAATTGCTGATGCAAAATATTTTTAGAGCTTTTGACAGCATTGCCAAATTTTTTATGCCGTTGCCCTAAGATCTGACCCATCTCCACTGCCGCTGGCACCACATCGTGGTCCAGTCTCATTACTACCTCACCAGAACTAGGAATTGTAATTTAAAATGCTTTTTCCTAGGCTGAAAATACATCTGACATTTTGAATTGTATATAAATCAGTCTTCAAAGATGGACCTTATGAAAAAAAATGCTATTCAATTAAAGAATCAGGTAAAGGAGAAAAATGAATTTATATAGATAAATGTTACTAGCCCAGGAAACTAAGATCAAAGACCTTTCAAACATGGTCACTTGTCATTGTTTTAAGCAGTTTTGTGTCAAAATAAGGTCAAGGGCAGTTGGAGTAAAGAGGCGAACGAGAGGTCAGCTTTGAGTGTTCTTCTGTCGGCCCTTCTTTTTACCTCATTCCTGTCTTGCTAGAACTTTAATGTATCTTAAGACAGTCTTCTGAGCAGGTGCTTCCTTTTCTGGGGCTCACAGGCTCTTAGGTCTGTCTGTGAGTGGCACAAAGCTAATGAGAACCATGGCGGTTTTGCCTCTATTCCCGGCCGTTTGCTCCTGGGCTGACTTCAGAATTTTCACTACCAGGGACATCTTTCCAGAAAACTAAACTGACTTCTGTTTTGCAATTGCACTGCCATATACTGTGCCCCCAGGGAGTGCAGGCCAGTGAAAGCATAGGCAGGGAGATGCAGGTCCCCAGAACTCAGTCAGGCTGAGCATGCCCAGCTACTTGCATTTTTTGACTGGTATTCACTGGCCCTTCATTCGTCTGTGTTGTCTCCTGCTTGTCCCTTCATAGACAAGTGGTGGGACTCACCAAGGGTTTTTCAAATAAAGGCCCAAAAAAAAACAAAGCTAGTGAAAGAAGTCTCTCTGTTAATCTGTTTGGAATTTAGAAAAGGTCCATTTCCTTTTCTGCTGGGATATCATCCTTTATTTTTTTCTCTTGGCCTATCTCAGCCTCCTGGGTAGAAGGTCACCCTTCCCAGACCTGCTTCCTCATTGTCCCCATGTTGGCCAGGCCTCTTGTCGCTTGGCTTCCTGGGTGGGGTCTGGCTGCACTGGCCCTGCCATGCTTGCTCTGTGGGCCTGTGTGGCTGCTCACAGGGACTGCCAGTCCTTCCTCTGCCCATCTCAGCCCCTGTGCTCCTCCCGGCCCTTGGCCCAGGGCTCTCTGGGACCACTGCTTGCCTCTGGGCCTGCTCTGTCTTCTCTGACTCCTTTCTGTTCTCATCAGTTCAGCCCCTACCCTGCCACGCTGTTGAAGCGGTGGGCCCACCATCTACTCTTGCTGGTGGTCCCTTGGTAGTGACTGGCACATGCACAGAACAGCTGTGCGCAGCTGCCCTGCCTGCATCCCAGGGATCTCTAGGACAGGGCTGGCTGGCTGCTCTTTAACTAATCTGCCACCAATCCAATTACCTAACCTTATTAGTCACATCAACAAGGGCTTAAATTGGCTGCACTTTGATAGCAGATGTGCAAACCTAATGGAGTGAGGGGAAGACAGTACGCTGTTCTCATTTCCACAGAACTTCAGTGCTTTGAACCTGGGATGTAGCTTTTTTTTTTTTTAAGGTTTATCTGAGTGGGGTGGTTGATACGCTATTTGGGAAATACACCATGTCCAGGCTGTGCTCTGTTCTTTCAGTTGGAGCAGAGAGGGGGGCCCGCTGGATTCAGGAGAAAAACCTGCAATTTTACTCAGGATTTAACTGCATCAGGCCAGTATTGGAATTTCAGCAGCATGTCTTGCAGATCAGCTGCCTGCAGTCCCCAGCGTTGCTTCTCCTGTGCTCCTTGGCTGCCGAGGAAGCATTTCTCTAGAATGTTCTTGTCCACACCCTTCCCAAGAGTCTGTTTCTTTCCAGGTCCCCACTTTTGCAATAAAGAGCATGAGTCTTCTTTCAGAATAGGTGTGTCCTTGTCCTGTGTTACCAGTCCAGTCTATCCAGGGCCCGAGTGTCAAATGGGCTACCTGCTTGTGGGATGGGTGGCATGGAATTAATTGGTCCACATGCTCTGCCCTCCTGGTGGCCCAGGAACTCTTTCCAGAATTGTGGGCAGCGCCTCAAGTCAGCCTGATACCATGTGCACTGGGTAGTCTGTGTCACAAGTGATACAGATGCTCTGCAAAGATTGCTAGTGAAAGAAGTCTCTCTGTTAATCTGTTTGGAATTTGGAAAAGGTCCATTTCCTTTTCTGCTGGGATATCACCCTTTATTTTTTTCTCTAATGCCCACGGAAGCTCCCTAGAAGAGGACATGTTGTGCAGGGACTGAGGCCAAGGAGGAAGTTGATCTGATCTGATAGAGGAGCTTGGATGGGGCAGAAGTATAAAGACAAGGAAGCCCACATATGTCAAGTGGCCTTCAGTGCTTCTAGAAATCCCTACCACCCACAAGACACCCTGCTTCCTGTGGGCTGGTGTGCAGCGCTCTGGGTCAGTGGTCCAGTGAAAGGAAGACATTCCAAGAGACTGGTGGTGTGTAACGTTTGTGAAATCAACACTGCCTCCCATCTCCAGATGCCCACCGGGCAGTTCATCCTCTGTGTGGTTGGTGTAGTGGTGAGGGAGGGGTGGCACCTTCTGCTGAGGTTGTCCCTTTCCCCCTTGGAGCTTGCACTGCAGACATCCCATCAGCAGGAAGGCAAGGGTTCACCCAGGGGCTTCAGCTTGACGTCCACTCCAGCTGTGCCCTCACAGGGCCCCCCTGCCCAAGGCAGCCGTTGATGACAACAGCCACCCACCATTATCAGCCCTGTCTGTGTGGCCGCTGTGATTTCTCTGTCCTGTCCAGGTGGCCATTCTGTGTCTCCACTCAGCAAAGCCTGTTCTCTTCTTTCTCCCACTTCCATTTCCTCTGAGCGCCTCCAGCACTCCAGGCACCCTTGGCTAGCTGCCCTGGTTCTTACAGTTAGGATGCCCCACCTAGACTCCTAAATTGTCCCCTTCTACTGCTTCCGTGGTCCATTAGGCTCAGAGGACATGTCCTCTGCTCTCTCTCCTTAAAGTTGGCTAGTGGGTTCACTGTCCTGTGCCCACTTGTGCCTTTCCCAGTCCCAGAGTAGCATATTTGCACTGAAACTGAGGACTTTGGGAAATCTTCATGTTTTCCAGAGGTGAAATCCTACATGAGAAGATTTCAGTATTTGCTGAGCCAGCACAGAGGGGCTTGGAGGCATCAGTGGCTTAGTGCTTCTCGTATCATCCACGTAGCCCTGGTGAGCCACGTTGACACAATAGGAACCTTTTCCATGCCTGAAACGAACCTCTCCTCCATCTCACTAAGACCCCTGCTCCAAATGAGTAATTTCCCACAGGGTTTTGCTTCATAAGAGAAAGCATACCTTTAAATTCTCTCCTGGCACCTTTGTAAAGAATTCCATTTGTTATGTCTTTGGAAAATATAGAACTAACAGCTGAGAATTGCAGCAAATGACTGTATGGGCTACATACCATTAATAAAAATGGAATGCAGGAGACTCTGCAGTAAAATAATATTTTCAGTCATGGAGCTGCTTTCTGTCAGCTTTGTGAGGGTCAGTAAAATGCTCCACAGTTTCCAGAAATTCCCATTTAGTTGTAACAATATTAGAACATGAGTAATCTTGTGTCTGTATTTCTGGGTTCCTGCTTGAATAATCTCTTCGTCCTGCCCATACTGGTAACTGTAAGGAAATAACTGAATAACCCAAGTTGTGGTGGTGGGCAGCTTCTGCCACTCAGTGGGAAAGCCAGTGTATTTTGCACTGTAATATGAATGTGAGTATGTTTGGTGGCAATTTTATCATGTTTCTTCTTCTTTCTTTGGGATTTTGTTTGTTGGTTTGCTTATTTTTGCCTTCAATTTCAAAATAACACTTGATTTTATTATGTTGGATGCTTAATAAGGAAATACAGTGCCCAAGAATTAGGCTATTATCTAATTGAACCCCAGGCCTAAAAGCTGTCTGAGAGATCATGGAAACGAATACCCTCCATTCCACGAGTTCTGATTACATTGCATTCTGTTATTCAAAGCCCTTCAGCAAAGAGATGCCCAAACCCCCATAAATGGCTTTTAACCAAATTAAACAGGACTCACTCTGAGGGCATTTCCTGGAGCCCATCGTCATTGTCTACAACCCAGAGTCACGCCTCAGTGTGCACGATGTAGAAATGGGGTGCAGCTGCACCTGCCCGCAGTCACCCAGGGTGCACCAGGCAGCAGACAGTTCCCCAGCCAGGCTACACCTGTGCGGGACTTGTGGGGCTCTAGGTCTTTGGATATTTCATAGAAGCTTCAGGGTCAGCGAGCAGCGTACCTATTGGATGTAGAAGGAGGTGGGGATTTTAGAAGTTGGGATATTGTGTGCTAGAGATTGTGTACGTAGGTCTGCAGAGTGGTTAAGAAGAGTTATGCGGTACACCTAAAAACATGCCTGGGCAGAGGGATCAAAGTGTGAGTGAGAGACTGCGGGTGGTGGGGGTCAGCTACTTTTAGAGTGGCCACATGTTAGTATGGAGCCCCAGGGGTGGTGCAGAGCCAGGCTGCTCTCCCAAGCCATGCCAGCTCCTTCTTCCTGGCCATGTGTTCCACACAGATACAGGTCAGCGACTTTCTCTCGCCCGCCTCTCCTGTCACTGCTGCGGAGCAGGGACATGGTTCTGCAATGCCACTGTATTGGCCCATTTCCACCTGGAAGTTCAGAAGCAGAGGATCTGATTCTTTGAAGCTCTTGGATCCCGGTGGGTGGGCTCAAACCGTGGTCCTGCCTCTGGTATCGTGTAAGCACTTCCCCCTGAGTAATGGAAGGAAGCAGTGCACTGCAGGGCAGCGAACAAGTGCACTAAGCATTACCTGTACACAGGCCAAAGATAACCTTTTGCTAACAAACTCAGGAGACCGTGTTCCTAGATTTCGGACTTTACCCTGCTCTTGATAACCTCTAAGCATTTCATCAACATGATGAGTTATTTGTGCAAACCTTTCCATCCTGGTCCAGCTCCTCTCTTCTTCTAGCGTAATGCCAGATCCCTTCTGTAAATGTGTTCCTGGAAAATGCAGGCCTGCTTTTCTCCATTTGTAAATGCATTATAGAGATCAGTAAATCTAACCTCCACCAAAAAGGATGCATTACAAACCAAGTAGGAATGGCATTTGGATTGCCCGTACTGGGATCTTCCATTCCACAGTCTCTTAAATTAGAGCCAGTAGCCTGTGGCTAACCGTGGTGGTGAGTGGTGAGAGCAGGGGTTCCTGTCTCAGCTGAGTTACCAGTGATGTCAGTAGCCCTCTTGCTTTACCCAGTTCATCTGAACAGCAGCCTTCACAAAGCCCTGTATTTATATGAGGCCGTAGGTATTGGAGCTTAGAGATGCTCTGTCAATATTTTAAGGTGGACACCCTGTGGATGTTTTTGTAGTACTATTGGTGATTCAGAAAAGACAGGAAAATAAAATTATTTTGCTTATCACATGAGTGAGTCTCTGCCACCTTTGAGCAACACAGTAAACCCTTGCTAATTTTATCCTAACCATAGAGAACCCTGTTGCAAATTACCAGATAGCATGCATTTATGAGTAAGATAATAAACATGATTTTTATCGAATCAGCTCTGCTCTATGAGCAAATGTACTTCCTCCCGTTTATTTGGACAGGGCCATTTAATTCTGATTATGATAACAGTTCATAAGCACACTAGCAAATTGATTCTAGTATATTCTGTAAAAACTAATGAAGACCCTGGAAGCAGAGGCGAGCTGCGGATCTGTGATATTGAATCCTTGCTGAGAAACAGAACAGGATTGCCAGGTGTTTGTGCAAATTACTTAGTTTAGACTAGAAGTTAGTAAAATTAGAATCAGCTGTGTTCTTCTGATTTGCTTATCATCCATCCACTCATTTTAGAAAACATTAAATTCATCAGTCAAAATTTGATAAGCAGCATACTTAAGGAGCTGGCGCTTCCTTATTGCCCTTGTTTGTGACAGCTAGGTTTATGTGGAAGCAGAGAAAACATGGCATTTCCATAAAGTACACTCCAAGTTCAAATACCTTCTGATTAACTAGTGATGAGCAATTTCAAAAGCCTGTGTGCTTTTTTGCCTGTTAGGATGAGGCGTGTTTTTCTGCATTCTGTATGCCTTCCTTATTGTGTGCTCAGGCGTGGAATTGAATTGTGTGGTTTGATTACATCTAGCTTCGTTTGTATCTCAATTATTTGTTCTGAAGGCTTAGCACTCACCAGGCACTTAGTTATTGGTGGTCCCATCATGGGACCCTCTGGGAGATTGGATGGCCTGGAAATGCCAGCTTCCGCGCTAGCGGCAACCTGTCCCCATCGCATCAGCTCCCTAAAAGAACCACCTTTGCAGAATTGTCTGTAAAGAGCAGAATAATGGTGGGTCAGTTTCGAAAGGTTGTTACTTTACAGTAAAAGTCACTCTCATGAGACTAAAGATGAATAAAACAAAGCAAGTCATTCTTTCTTGTTCGGTGGAACCATCTCTCTCCGTTTCTCAAACTCTCTGAACAACTCAGAACAAACAGTGAGAAGGAAGGTCTGTGTGATGTTGCCGAGTCCTTGATGTCAAGCAAGAATCAATACCTCTCTCCAGTCCTGTTTTACACCTTCGTTTCATCTGTAGCATGAGAGAATTGCTGTGTTAGGCGGCGTGTCCCCATCAAGGTCAGGCAGGTCTCTGCCTGCTTTTCTCTGAGGCTCCTCCCTGGGTCTCATGAGGCCCTCTCCTCTGCCTCACGGGAGACCACAGTCCACTGCCACTGAGTCCCCAGCACCATAGATGGAGCTGGCAGTGCCCATATCAGGCACACGCACGAGTGTGCTCACCACTTGGCTTGCATGGCCAGGAGAGCAGGTCGTGTCTGGGCGTTCTGCTAGTCCCCTCTGCTGACACACTAAGCCCTCCCCAGCTCACATTTCACACCAAGTCTGTCCAGTAATTGGCGTGCATGTAGCACCTTCATCCCGCTAGAGCACCCTCACCAGCCACTGTTCTAGGGGTTGGGGACACGACATGACCAAGAGAGAAGAAAATTCTTTCTTTCACCCAGCTTAAATCCTTATGGCTTCTTGGTAATAGTAGGGCATTTGGGGATTGTTGCTGGGAAAGCAGTGTCTGAGCACATTATCATCCCGGGATCCCCGACACCCTTGCCCGTGTGCCATGGTGTGCTTGCTTTCTGAACCTTGAATTCAGCTGTCTCCAGCTCTGCAGGGGCTGACACGCTCACAGCCCCTCCTTACCCCCTGGCCCAAGCCAGCAGGAAGCCTCAGGGCCTCTGGCTTGAGTCCCGGCACTGAGGTGGCTCCGAGTCCTGCAAGAGCTGTGGCACTGGGTAAGAAGGACGGGGATGCATGCCCACCATCGTTGAGGTGGTTTTGTGCGGCCCCATCAGCCACAGGGTTCGTGCGGCTGCTGTGAAAACACTTGGGAGAGTTGCACCTCTCCAGAATTTAGTTTTTCCAAAAGCATGTGTCCGAGAGACAAGTTCATTCTAAGGATCCTGTCCCAACCCTGTGCTCTGGAAAAGCTTTGGGGAGTTCAAAGAAGGGCCTGGAGGTGGACCTTTTCGAGATGCCTGCTAGTCTTTTAGAGACATTTCCGCTCTTATTTTTATAGTGTTTTTTTCAACCACAGTGAGATACTTCACGAGGAGCCATCAAGGGATGGCAGTGAAGTGGCCCCTCAGATGTTTTCAGATTGCTGAGAACTCTGCTGGCAAGTAAAGAGCCATCTGTTCATTTCTAGGAACCCACGAGCTATTTTCAGTGTTACTTGTTTGTAGAGATGAAGCTTGGGGCTTTTTTAGCGTTGCTCCTTGATTTTTTTTCTCCGGTTTCCTTGTCTTCCTCTGGCTTCTGCTATCAGAATACACATGTTTACGCTCCATTAACCAGGAAAGGACATGAAAGATTCCCCCAGTGACAGGGGGAGGGGGGTCATCAGAAGTCCCCAGGGGCTCAGGGGTGGCAACTCTTTAGTGAAATCCGGCTTCAGAGGTGTAGGGTGACTGTGTGGTGATCATCTCTGGTCAGCTTGTGTACTGTTGACATTCCGTCATAAAACGAAATATCCACCATGCTGATTATTTACGCTTCCTCTGTTTAATTATAGTTTGAAAATGAGATCATCACCAAGCTGGATCATGAAGTGGAAGGAGGCAGAGGAGACGAGCAGTACAAGGTGTTATTTGATAAAATGTAAGTGTTGATTAACAGTGGGGCTTATGTCAGAATAGAGACAGAGAGACTGTAATTAGACTACAATGAACTTTGTAGCCCAGAAATAATTAAAATGTGTTAATAATGGAAAATATTTTTAAATTGCACCTCAGACAAGTTTCTTTTTCTGAGTGTGATTAACAAGGTGTGTATGATTATTTTTCAGCCTCCTGGAACACTGCAGGAAGCACAAATACCTCGCCAAAACGGGAGAAACTTTTGTAAAACTTGTGGTGCGCCTGATGGAAAGACTTTTGGATTATAGAACCATCATGCATGATGAGAATAAAGAAAACAGGATGAGCTGTACTGTCAACGTGCTGGTGAGTGAAAAGTTCATTCAACTTCCAGTCTTCCCGGGATGCCAGCAATGGAAGTAGGAAGCTTGGAGGCCTCTTGACAGCTGGTCACAGAGCTTTCCATGAAATGCGGCATCGTTTGCATATTTCCTCATCTTTTTCGGGGGAGGGATAACAACAAACTGTGTGCAGGTCTGCTCCGAAGAAGGTGGCAAAATCATGTCCCCTCTGGATGTTACCACACAGCTCTTCGGTGTGGCTGAGAATGCTGCACCATCTTATTTTGTAACCACAGTAGCACCTGTGTTGGTCACAGGGGCAGAGGGCTTCAGTATTAGGAGATTGTGAGCATGTCCTGTAGCGGGTTGAATGGTGGTCCCTGAACCGTGTGGAACATCCTAATCCTCAGGACCTGTGAACGTGACCTTATTTGGAAAAAAGGCTCTTTGCAGATTGACTGAGTTAAGGATCTCAGGGTGAGGTCACCTTGGATTACCCAGGGCCCTAAATCTGACAATAAGTGTCCTTTTAAGAGACAGAGAAGGAGGCAGCCATGTAAGGATGGAGCCCGAGTCGGGGTGATGTGGCCACAAGCCAAGGGAGCCCTGGGCCTGCCAGGGCCTGGAAGAGGCAGAGTGGGATTCTCCCCCAGAGCCGTCAGGGGGACCTTGATTCTGCTGACGCCTTGACTTCAGACTCTGCGCTCCAGCCTGTGAGAGGACACATCTGCTGTCTTAAGCCCAGTGTGTGGCCATTTGTCACGGCAGCCACAAGAAGCCAGCGCGTGGCCTCAGGGACAGCAGATGGCTGGGGCCGAGTTGGCCCTCTTGCACCCCTGCTGACACTGTGACTCGGCCGGGTACTGTGGACACGGCCTTGCTCATGTTGTCATCGTGCATTGGCTAGTGCTGTAGGTGAAATGGGCTTTTCAGAAGTTTTAGGACAAGCTCAGTGACAGGGACTGCTGGAACCACAGGACCGCCGCTTCTGGCCCAGAGCTCCGTGCAACTCCCGGCATCCTCCCCGCTGCTCCCAGAGGAGCCAGAGAAGCCGACTCCTGGCCCTGGAAGGGGTTTTCTAACCTTCCCTGCCTGCCCCAAGGTGGGGCTGCAGGAAAACACTACACCTACTTTGTTCTACTTAATGCATTTCTCTGGATTTTCCATATCGCCACCTGGTCATTGGGCAGCATATGGATCCTTGGTCTTGACTTCTGTGTCCACGATTTGTATGGACTTAGAGGCACTTTGAGCTCATGGTGACAGACTTTAGTGTTTGGAGCAATATGACACATTGATTCATTCTATAGAAAATCACCAAGATGTTTGGATTGAAAAGATAAACAAAAGGCACTATTTACACCCTGGCATCAATACTGAATCTGTGCTTTGCCACCAGAAACTTGCAGCTAGAAGCACGTGGCTTCCTCAGCCCCTGCATTCTATGATGGGGCAATCTGTTTCATCTAGTGATAAACATTTTCTGTAGCAAGTTTTCCTCTCCTTGAAAATGCAAGTATGGGGGACTTCTGATTTATGGTCCAATTTGTAAAAGAAGCTTGGAAGTTTCACTCCCATCCTCACCACGAGGAAAGAGCTGGCTGTAAACAATTCTTGTTCCTGAAAGTAAACAATTCTTAGCTGTGCAGGGAAAACTGCTGCCTCCCAAATTGGAGAGACAGGAGGTTACAGAGAATCACAGCTCGCCGGAGCGGAAGCCAGCTGCCAGAGGCAGTACTGGATTCCCGTTACCCAGTACGTCGTGTCCACAGTCACTGTAAGATTATAAGACAGGAAACACAGTTTGAAGAGACAGAGCAGCCATCAGAGCCAGAGCCAGACAGGGCAAGAGGTTTTGGAATTATCAGACTGGGATTTTAAGTAACCGTGATTAATATGCTAAGAGCACTAATGTGAAAGGAGACATTATGCAGAAACAGATGAGTAGCATAAGCAGAGAGATGGGAAGTGTAAGGAAGAATCCAGAACACTAACAGTGAAGAGTACTTATGTTCTTGTCAATAGATTGGACACAGCTGAGGAAAGAATGGGCTTCAGCCGTCCATCTACATTTGCGTGCGTTCTGTGAGTCTGGGCAGCTATGGGAATTGCTGGCTTCTGGCATCAATGCCTGAGGCCTGTCCGCCGCTGTGCTCGCCTGCGGTCTCAGCGGAGCACAGCAGCGAGCCCTGCCCTGGGTAACGGCCTCCATCTTTCGCAGGGAAATGAGCCCGGCCCTTGTTTCACTGTCTTCCTGCATTCTTGCCTCGGTTCGAAGTAATTTACTTTGGTGGTGCCAGTGCGGTTAACATGAAATAGGAAACAGTCTTTTTCTGCAGATGAGAAATGGAAACCTTTTCAGAATCATTCCCTACTGGAGACATGCTTTTTCTAGTGCTCCCTCTGATCTTGAAGGGGACCTGAGTGGCCAGATGGGGTCCAGAGGGAAGAATTACTCATGTTTGTTAGCTTTTGGGCTTTGGTCATTGAGAATGCCATTTGTTTTAAGCAAGACCTCTCATGTTCACCGGGTATGAAACCTAGCAGAGAAGTGGTGATGCGCTTTGAACATGGCCTTCTGTCTCCGGGACCAGGGTGGGAGAACAAGCTCTTGTAATGACACGTGCAGCCAGAGTTTCCGACGTTAACGTGTGTTATGGTCACACGGAGCCTTGCTCAGTCCCTCCCTATTGTTACTGCTGTCAGCACCAGCGGGGTTTTGCTAAGAAACACACCCAGGATTTCTGACCTCATTAAACTTCCTCCAACTTGCACATGCTGAGTCACCCCACGCAGAGTGAAGTGTTCCCTTCTTAGCGTTTCCTGGGGATAAGATGGATACCAAGCTATCAAAATGCTTGCACTTAAAAAATAAAATAGGTCCTAGGGAGTAAAGAGAAACAAGAAACTGGATTTTTACAGGTAGGTGTCCTGGCTTTAAATGCTCACTGCCCAGCTCACATTTAATGATATAAATAAAAATATAAATCTGCTTCTAATCTCTCAGTCCATTTTCACCGTTTCTTCTGGTACTTTTGTTATAAAACAAATGGGGTTTCATAGAGATGAATATGGATATCCATCTCTAGATGAACATGGTATATAAACATAGGCTAAAAATTAAAAAAATGTGTGCCATTTATCACTAAGCAGAAGCCCTCTTGAAATCCTAATGTTAAAATAAAGCATAGAATTTAATGATGCCCTGTAAAGCCCATTACCAAGTTTGCATTAGAACCAGTATTACTGGGGGGTTTTTTTTAATGGAGTTAGTGGAACATATTAAGTTGTGTGAGCTCATTAATATCCCACTCTCCCTTGCACTTAAAGAAAGAAAAAACTAAAATAAAAATATAAGAGACGCAAGCAGTCACTCTGTCTAGCCACCTAAGCCCCCTATATATACCCCTGCAAGGACATCTACTTGGTATATATTAGATCATGGTTCCCCGACAAAATGCACATCTGTAGTTGAGTAGAATTTATTGTCACCTCATAGTCAAGTCACCTAATTCTAAGCAGTCATTAACATATCCCTATCTAAGACTAGTAGAATCTTTGTTAACATGCAGATGTTTACTCTCTTCAGGGCCCCTTTACAAGACTAATTAAGGTGATTCTGATTGGAATTCTAAAAAATTGAGTTTCTGCTTTAGTCATAACGAGTACAAAATCGCAATGTAATGCCAATGTGTCAGTTCTGAAAGACCAATGGGTAGTGGTGGATTGGAGTTGGGGGCCAGTCCTGATGGGGCTGCTTGGAGAGCTCCCAGAGGTCAGCTCTGGTGCCAAGGGCATTGGGAGAGGACCAGGTGGGGGGCGGGGGTGGGGTGCTGCTTGCAGAACCCAGACGCAGAGCACCAGAGCAGCGTCAACATTTACGTAAGAAACGCAAAGGTTTTATATAGAAACTGGGATTTGAGATGAATGTCCTAGAGAGGTTTTGAAGTCTTAGGAAGGGAACAGAACTCAGCACAGGCAGGAAATAGAACCGTGTCTCCGAGAGAGGAATGAAAGTCGTACGATATCCCCATTGTGAAATTGTAAAGGACAATGATCAAACACTTAGGAAAGGATTAAAAATATGAGTGCAGAAGAAAATGATGTGAAATCATAGCTGGTAAAATACTGGCCAGTTCGAGTTGGAAGTGGAGGGTTTATTCTCTACCTTTGATGCAGATTCTCTTTGTTACATCGCTCTGAGTTGTCAGCTGAAAATACCCTCATTAGCGAGCTGTATCTTTCCAACTAGAGGACATTAAAATCTCTGGTGCATTTTTCTAACAGCGCCCCCTCTTTCTATACTTGCTCATTTTTCAGAGAGATCAATTTTGGCAGCTGTGTGGGTTTTTTTGCTAGTGAAATTAAACAACTTATTTCATCTTATTGGATAATTGAAAACCTTCACAGTGGTGATTGATCTCAGGCACTGATTCCAGAGTTCTAACGTTGTGTTCAGGTGCTGAGTTTCACATTGAAAGTAGTTCTGGTGTTTCTATCCTGAGGCCTGGTTAGGTGATACATTCTTATGCTCATCCTGAAGATATTTTATAATTTATAGAAATAGCCCATCACTTATAATTACTAATTAGCCCTCCTCCATCAGTACTTACAGAGTGCCTATAAAGTGGCAACCCGTTTTCCTACTATGTTTGATCACGTGTCTCTGTCTAGACCCGCACTGTCCACTGGGAATTTCTGTGACGATGAAAATGTTCTGTGTCTGCATAGTTCAGCACAAGAGCAGTAGCTCCATGTGGCTACTGAGCACTCACTGTATGGCCAGTGCAACTGAGGAAGTGGATTTTTAAGTTCGTTTAATTTTAATTGAATTTATTTTACATTTGAACACGTGGCTGGTGCTACAGTTTCAGGCACCTTAGGTGTGGGATACCACCGGGCTTCTCGTGGCTCTGTTCAAGGCTGGCTCTAGCATGTTTAAATCCTGTTGGTGATGCTTATTCCCAAATTTGGGGTCTTGAGCCAATTTATTTTTACTTCTAATGAGTTTTCAATGGTTAAGAAATCATATTTGGATAGTACCTTGTTTTAATCGAAGACGGATGACTTTGAAGTAACAAGTAGATTTTAGTCATCACAGTGTAGGAAATGTGATTATTAGAATCATCCTCCAAAAAGATGAAGAAGGGGATATAAAATGGATTTTTCTTTTATGTGACTCTGGTTCTCATCCACAGAGCTGGGGTCCATTTGTCTTATGTTTGACCCAAGTTGAAGAACCTTGAGTTTTTTAATATACATGTGATACCTTTTGTAAAACAGCTTTCTTAAAACAGTGTTGTGGTTTGATCTTTCAGAATTTCTACAAAGAAATTGAAAGAGAAGAAATGTATATAAGGTACGTAGCCATCACACTTGTCTGCACTGTCTCCTAGTATATTATAATTGCTCTTGTCAAGTCCATGCAAAGAAATGCTGTATAACCGCAGAGGTTTGTCTTACAGGAAATTGTGAATCCTAGAGATTGAGTTTTGTGGAGTGTCCAGATAGATCCTTAGCCCTTGTGCAGCTGCCCACATCCATGCAGAGATGGGGGGTTACACTTAGCTCAGAAATAAAGCCATAAATTATTTCACAGGGGTTTGTATCACTTAACTGACTCACACGGACCTTTTGAAAAGAGACACCACCACAATTTTAATGTTTCACAGTAAACCAGATGATGAAATGAGAAATCCAGTTTTAACTTTCTTAGAAATAGGCCATATTATAGTTTTTCAGTCAGTTCTTTAACTGACATCATATACTCATGTTTTACATTTTTCTCTCTCACTTGCCTTTCCTTCAAAGTGATGGGCTGTGAATGAGCCCCTCTCTTTCTTGATCTCTTTTAGGAGCCAGTGTCAAATACTTGGCAAGATTACAAATAGCAGAATAGAATAAAGATGTGATCCACATGACATTAGTGTTTAATGATGTATTTATCATATCAAGTATGATTTTCTAACTTCTGGTTTCTAATTTTTTTCTTTTTTACTTTCTCTTTCAAAAATATACCATATAAATCTAATGAGCTTTTGGGAAAACAGTCAGCTTCTTTTATCCCAAATGCAGATAGCTTTATATTAAAACAACTTTTATTTCTTTATGGTAGAGAAATTCTTTTGACCACATTCCTGTTATCACTGGAGCTCTTTTATTCTTATGGATTTATATTTTTATGGATATTTTTGATGCATTTGCATTCAATACAAACATAAGGAATCACAATCAAACATTGCATCATTTCATTTCAAATGTAAGAGAAAAACTGGAAAAGATGAGAAAGAATGAGAAACCTTGAGGAGTAATTCTATTTTCTTGCACCATCTTGATTTTTGTCCTGAAAAGAGGACTTAAAAAAAAATGTATTATTGTATGTTGCTCTGGTTGGCTTCACTCGGTGCCTCTGCACCAAAGTTTTCAAGACCTATGGATTGTGAACACCATAAAAAGAAAGCATAGACATGATTTATTGTTGAAGGTGGAATTTAGCTCTTGGAACCCTCAGCACAAATTATCTGCTGACATTTTACGAAGGTACCTCTGTTTTGTCATCTCAGGTATTTGTACAAGCTGTGTGACCTGCACAAGGAGTGTGATAACTACACTGAAGCCGCTTACACTCTCCTTCTCCACGCAAAGCTTCTGAAGGTAATAAATATTGCCACGCATTTTTACGATTCTGTCATTATAAAGTCTAAGATCATTTAAACTTTTATTTTTCCATGATAAATTTTAGTAAACTTATGACTTAGGCTTTTATGGATATTGAATGAATGAAATGGTAAAAACCAAGATGTTTAGGAAGTACTTTGATCATAGATCTGGCCCCACTGAGTGCAGATTTAACGAGCTATCATAGCACGTTACCACTAAGCATCGTGAACAGCCGGTCACTGGACTGTCACGTAGCAGTGGACGAGAGATTCTCCAATTCCTTATTCATGCCAACAGGTGTCAGTCATGGTGGAGAATGACATCAATAAGAAGGAATTTCTGTAGTCAAACAGCTAAGACATAGGATGAGGTAGACCCCTGATTATCTTAGCACTGAGTATAGGGACCCCATCATGACTGTCCTGTCCATGAGTCCACACTGAGAGCTCCTATTAGTCCCTAGTTCCCACCGCACCTCCTGGCTGGCACTCCTGGAGGGTGTTGCTCCTGAGCACAGGTCTGGCCTGACGACTTTCAGGTCCCAGTGGCTCTTTTGTTGGGCAGCTAGCTTTCAGCCTGGGTGGTTTTGTTTGTTTGCAGTAATACACTCATGCTCTTCCCCATGTCTCCTCAGCCCAGTTAGTCAGACACAGTGGACCCTCAGCAAATAACTATGTGGATGCATGGGTAGGTGCGTGGGTGGGTGTGCATGACAAAGGGGGAGCTGGGCAGGGGTGGGAGGGTAGCTGGACACATGGATGGGTGGGTGGATGGGTGACTGGATGAAGGAGTTGCTATACGACTTCTAGTTTTATATTTTAAGACTTCAGCAAGTTATTAGATCATCTTGCCCATGATACTCTTATAAAAAAATTGAAAAAAACTGAAAAATTGGATAAACAAGAACAAGTTAATGAGAATTAGAGTGTAGTTGAGTGACTCTATACAAAGATTGCTCATTCAAGTAGCCCTGTTTCCAAACTCAGGCCAGCCCCCTAAACACCACAAACTGAATGAAAGAAAACCAGAAAAGATTATGTTAAAAGGGCATCCAGCAATGTCTGGTGGGTGATGAGAAGACAGTGTGTTAGGGAGTGAAACTCCAGCAAGAATCTCTGGCCTTTGGCCCAATCCTGAAATCTCCATGAGCTCTGGTACCACAGATACACACAGGCTGCTCCAGAGACAGCAGGGAGTGGAGATGGTTCAATCTGGCTGCCTCACTGATAGTTATCAGTTGTCCCCCTTTGGCTTCACACCATATAAAGCTCTCCCAAGGGATGCATTTAGGAAGGTAGAGATTTCAGTTAGGGCCTCTTACACCTGCCATGCCGCTATGAATTGTAATGGCCTGCAGTTGTTGGAGACCCTAATTTCAGTAACGATGTTTTTTGCAAATATGAAGTTACTTCTTCTACACCAGGGAAATTAAAATGGGGTTGACAGCCTTCATCTCTCTCAGAATCTGTAAATACATATGCGTGTGCATGTAAAACACATGTATGTAAACTATCATTTGTTCACTCATCAAAATTATTCAGTACAGATGGGTCTGTCACAGACTGCAGGAGGTGTTTCAGACTCAAATTAAACGGCCCTTTTGCATTATCTTTTCCATCGGGGCTCTGAATTTTACAGTTAAATGGTGAATGCTTTATAATCTCTCTCAATGTCTTTCACAGTGTTATGTTTTGCAATGTTTCTTAAATATGTTTTGATATTGCTGTAAATGTGAATTCACACTGGTAAACCAACTTACTAAAGAATATTATTTGTATTGTTATGAAAATTTCTCTTCAGTATGGCAAATATATTCTTGTTCATTAACTAGAAAGCTTCAAATAGAATCTTTTGTCATAAAATAACCACATACTGGCCAAGCCCTCCCGGGTAACAGGCATTGTGCCTGACGCCAGCAGCACAGAGGCACAGCCCTGCCTGTAGGAGCTTGAGCGCCCATCTAGCCCCATGTTTCAGGACTCGTGTGAGAACCATGTGTCTCCTTGCTGTTAAAATCATGAGCAGCATGGGACTGAGGCCAGAGCCCCAGGGTGCCCCACTTGAGACAGTCACAAATCACATGGTTCATAATGCATCTCAGAGGTTACAGGGCATTATCAGCAAGCTGACCATTCTGTGCTTCCCAGAACCCACCAGGTTTCTCTTCGGCCTGAATGTGGCCCCAGCTCTGCCTCCCTCTTTCATTCCTCTTGGGGCCTTTGCACAGAGGCCCTGCCCTCATTTCCAGGCGGTGGCAGCCTGAGTGTCCCTGGAATCAGGGCCTGCGTGCACCAAATGCGGAGCTGATCCGAGGGCGGCAGGTGGCAGTGTTGGACGCATCCTCACCCGGCCTCTCACTTTACTTCTGCTGCAGTGGTCGGAGGATGTGTGCGTGGCCCACCTCACCCAGCGGGACGGGTACCAGGCAACAACTCAAGGACAGCTGAAAGAGCAGCTCTACCAAGAAATCATCCACTACTTCGACAAAGGCAAGGTAAAAAGGCGGCATGTCCCGCGCCTCCTCTCGTGGGCTTCCCTGCAGCGTCACAAACACATTTTTAACACGTGATATCTGTGGCACCAGAAATGTGTTACAAATTGTGGGCTGGAAGGTTTTATGCATGGTCTACCAGTTGGCCCTGCTAAGTAGCACTCTGACCAAAAAGAAGTCAGTCGCCCTTTTATAGATACTCTGCTAAAACTAAGGACTAAATGCACTAGTATTTTAATCGTCTTTGCCAGAGACAACCAAGTCTGGGGCACTGTTGGAGGCATTTCTGGACACTTAGAGCTAATGTATTTGTTTGATGGTTTGCATTTTTCTGTTGTTGCTGAAAAAGTAACCCTTTGGTAAGACCAGTATTGCTCCATCTTGGCGGCTCCTAGGTTCATTGGCTCAAGCAAAATTGTTTATTCCATCGACATCTGATGAAAGGAAACCTGCCACTATTTTTACCAGCTGGTGACGGATCTCATCCATGTAGCTCATGTGATTCAGATAAGCGGTAACTGTTAACAAAAGAGAGAGGGAGGTACTTGAGCTTCAGAAGTTCTTAAAATCTACCACCGCAGTGACTTCAGATCTCCTGTGGCTTCATCGGGATTCTCAACTCATGTCTGTAGCTGCTTCTTTCTCACTTTGAGAGAAGCACCTAGGGGATTTCGTGAAGGTGCTGCTAGTCGCCTATGGCTGCTGTATCAAGTACCAGAGCTGGGTGGCTTTCAGCAACAGAAAGGGGTTCCCTCTCACCTCCCGAGGCCGTGAGCCTGAAATGAGCATGTGTCGGGGCCCAGCCCTGTGAGGGCATGACTGAGGGGAGGCTGTCCCGTAGTTGCTGGTGTGGCCAGCAATCCTCGGCGCCTCTGGCTTGCAGACGCATCATCCCAGTCCGCCGCCATCCATGGTGCACTCCCTGTGTGTGTCTCTGTGTCCAAATTTCCCTCTTTTGTGAACACCAGTGATTGGGTTTAGGGACCACTCAATCCAGTATGACCTCTATTAACTTAATTACATCCAAAGACCCTATTTCCCAATGCCACATTCATAGATACCAGGGGTTAGGACTTCAACATATCTTTGAGGGGACACAGTGCTACCCAAAATACCACCTATATCCAAAAAGGATAATGGCTGTCTTTTGTGGCTGGGGACTCAAACCCCGCTGAAAAGGTCATGTATGTTTTATTCATTCCCTACTCAAAACATTCACAATAGCATGTGAGTTCACCAAGGGCAGTTTGGATGGAAGGACCAGAAATACCCTGTGGATTACACCAGGTCCTATAGTGAAGCACAATGTATTTCTCCACCAAATGAGATGCTTTCACTACTAAGGCCAATTACTAAAATGTTATTAGCTTATCCACGGCAATCCTGTTCCTCAGCAAACTGCTAGGAAATAGGGCTGATTGAACCATTCCTTCTGAAAACTTCCGGTCTTACTGGTTCTAGAGAAGGGCAGCCAGGGGCTGTGGAGTGGGCGGAGCAGAAGGGGGAACCCCCGGAGGCCCAGGGTCCTCAGGGCTGATGGGACGTGTGCCTTTGCTGACGTCGTTCTGGCCTTCCCAGCACATCCTGGGACCCCGAGCCCTGTCCAGCCACATCTCACCCTCTGCCCCCTCGCTCTCTGTGTTCCCACCGAACCACCCCCTTTGGGTCCTCAAACACACCAGCCCTTCCTGCCTCTGTCTGGCACCTTCCACTGCCCCTGCGCTTGGCTTGTTCCTCCCCACCTCAGTTGAAATGTCGTCTCTTCTCTGATACGCCCCTCCCACCCCCACCCACCGGGCTCCATGTCCTCTTCTTTTCCTTGGTAACTCTTACCACAATTTGCAAACAATAGATTTGCATGTATATTTCCTTAACAAGACCCTATAGGCAATAGGGTGTATGGAGGTAGAGGCCATGCAGGTTTATTCCACACGTCTAATTCTCAGGGCAGTGCCTAGCATATAACACAGAGGGCACTTGGCTGACCAAGGAAATTAGCGAAAGAATGGCCAGCCCACAAGTGATTGAATTCGCAGCATTTAGGAGCTACTCCTGACACATGGAAAATGCTCATTGAGAGCAGGACAGTTGGCCTTCAATAAATAATACATTGAAGAAAAAAGACCCTGCCTTTTTTAAGCAAAGGTATCCCCGTCTGGGGGGATGTTCCGTTTAGAGCAGTGGACCACAGCTGGGAGCCCTGGAGGCAGTTTAGGTTGTCAGGACCGGAGGAGGGGACGCTGCTGGCATCTAGGGTCCAGGCCAAGATGCTGTTCAGTATCCGACATGACAGACAGTCCCCAGCACCAAGAAGTACCCTGCCCAGAAGGCCAGTGGTGCCCAGACTAAGCAGTCCTGGTTTTGAAAAACCTAATTCTGGTGATAGCGTATTACAGGCGAAAAGAAAAATACGCTGAAGGAGCGTCCTCATGGGTCCCTGTTTGGCAAAGACACGGAGATGATTGTGGCGAGGCCGTCAGTTCACGGAGATGATTGTGGCGAAGCCGTCAGTGCACGGAGGTGATTGTGGCAAAGCTGTCAGTTCACAGAGATGATTGTGGTGAAGCTGTCAGTTCACGGAGATGATTGTGGCGAAGCCATCAGTGCACGGAGATGATTGTGGCAAAGCCGTCAGTCAGCTGCCTGGGGTCAGAAGAGCATGCTAGGTAATCCCAGTTTCCAAGGATTGTCTTCACAGCAGCTATGAGAGCCAGATTGGCAAACCAGGTAGAAAGGCCATTTCTGAGTACCTGTAACTTTTCTACAAGAAAATTAAAAAGAAACCAAGTCCTCTCATCTGTCTCAAGCTACAGTGAGAGTGAGTACAGGCGAGGGAGAAGAGGCCATCAAATGAAATTTGAAGTATCTAAGTAATTAACTCTGAAGCAGAAAAGAAAATCATTTTAACAGCAACCAGCATTGAATATCCTGGAAAAAAATTATTTATCTTTGGTATCAGGCCGGATAGGCTGGAATATGCTTGAGTTTTGATCTCTCAAATCTCAGTGGCTGTACACAAGCGGTGTTTGTTTTCCACTCATGCCACGTGTCCATCCTCCTCTCCCAGACCCCGGGGGAGCAGAGATGCCAGCACACAGCAGTGCAGCCCCAGGGGGATGATGAGTCGCCAGCCCAGCCTTTACCCATTCTGCCCAGAAATGACATGTGCATTTCTGCTCACATCTTTGGCTATGGCCAAATCACGCGGCCACAGCAAACCTCTGTGGCAGGGACAGGGCTTGCCTCTGCCAGGGCATTTAATCAGACGGGCAAATCTGGGATCAAATCAAGGGCTCTCAAGCCGATGGAAGTCACCTGAGTATGTATGTTCTGAGAAAGATAATATTCACACTCCTCCCCTAGACAGTGCAGTTCCCCATGGCTGCCCAGGGCAGACGGGGGACAGAGCTATCTCAGTATGTGCTTGGCCCTGCATTCTCATAGCTGACTCTCTTGGTTGGGAACGGCATGGACAGGCAGGGCCGTGCGGCATGAGAACACGGGCTCCTGTCCCATCTGCCTGGGATTCTGGAAATCTCACCAGGCAGTGGAGGAGGGAGGTCGCAGCTGAATATCAAAGTTCGGCACTTTGTGCCAGATTCCGAGTCACTTTCATGTAGGAAGTAAGACTGAGACCGGGCTGTCGCTGCTGTGTGGGTATCTGCAGTGATCTGAGAAATAACGTCTTTGTACCTTTTCTGAAAGCTGAGGAGTGAGACAAGTGACTGAGGTCACTGAAACTTGATTTGGGTGGGGGGCCTAGCTATACAGATTTCCATATTCCAGTCCCAAACTGCACCTGTCTTGGGAGATAAAGTGTCTCAGAACAGCCATGAGTGAATGGAGCTAGTGACACTGCCAGGGGAAGCTTGGGCAACCTCAGGTGATGGAGGGGACCTCTTAGCGGTGGGCCCAGGGAAGCCAGCCCTCAGGCAGTGGGAGAGCCCTAGCCTGAGCTGAACTCGAGCTGGAACTCTGACCCGAGCTTTCCAGCACCGGAGTCTCCAGTGACGGGTGGTCATTGGCCCTTGGAACGTGGCCAGTCCAAGCGGAGACATGCCGTCAGTGTCAGTGCACATTAAATTTCTAAGACTCAGCATGAATTGTGTCTGCCAGCTATTCATTCATTCATGTCCTAACCCCCAGTACCTCAGAATATGACTGCATTGGACATAAAGCCTTTAAAGAGGTAATTACGGTAAAATCAGGTCCAGAATGACAGGGTCCTTGTAAGAAGAGGAGGTGAGGACACACACACAGATGGACCACGTGAGCACATGGGAAGAAGGTGGCCGCCTGCAAGCCAAGGACGGAGGCCTCAGAAGAGACCGTCCTGCCAACAACCTGATCTCACACCTTCAGCCTCTAGAACGATGAGACAGATGCATTGAGGGCCTCAGTCCCTGGCACTTTGTCATGGCAGCCTGAGTGAATGCAGATGCCAACTCTATCATGAATTTGTTGTTATTTTTTTATTACATGTTGAAATGATAATATGTCAAAGTATATTAAGTATCACTAAGATTAATTCCACTTTTGGAGAAAATGTGGCTACTAGAAAATCTGAAGTTACTTACGGGGCTTGCGTTGGGCTTCTATTGGACGGTGCTGCCCGGAACCAAAGACTCTGTCCTTGTTGAGCACCAAGAGCATGTCCCGTCCATCGCCCGTGTGCTGGGGTTAGTGGGGGCCCCCTCTGTGTATCCTGTGGGGCCCTCACAGGAGCCAGTACTGCTTCTTTGCAAACTAAGCTATAGCTAAGAGAATTAGAAAATGAGGACCCCAGCCAGGAAATAATAGAATTTATGTCAGAATGACAAGAGGAAGGCCTGATCACAAGCAACAAAATTAGATTATTTTTCTCATGACCTAACCTCATTTTTAAAATTCAGAAAAAATTGTCAAGAAGGTAGTAGTGACTAGCAATAGGGAATTTGGAGAGATGGGTGTGTTAGGGGCTACTTTATGGACAGAAGATTGTCTGCAGGAAATGCAGACAAAGA